TTAAGACACTTCATATCATTGTCATTACTTCTAGAACCCTTCATCCTCGGAGATGGAACTCGCAGATTCAAGAGCCTGGTTTTCTCAAACTACGCCGAGGATATCGCACTTCAATTCTCTGTCACAAGTTTGTTTACGATAGTAGCACTCATGGAAATCTGCCGTTTTAGAAAACTGTCGTTGAGATTCTCCAAACACTAATGCCCCTATGCACACCCACGAATTGGAATAGTAGCCTTGTAAGTGTTTCGAAAGATTAGGAATTTCTTGCATTTTTTCTCTGTCCTTTCATATTTAGAGTTAATTTACTTGGTTTGCAGAGTGCCATTTTTAACATCCCCTTGTTTATTTTGTTTTCCGTTGCCGTGCAGTAGTTTGTCCATCGTTTTACCAAGTAGGCTGTGGTAGTGACCTGCGCATCAATTTCTCTATGATCAAATGAACTTTCATTACGTCTGCCTTGCTCGCATCTACGGTATTTTAATGGTTAGGTACTCTTAGGCCTGGCGGTGGTGAGAATGGACACCGTGACTGGCAAAGCTAAACAGCCGGTCTGCGCATCACTCATCAGATGGTCTTTAATGTCGTACTAGTTGTGCTTAAGTGATGTATAGGTCTCAATCCCGCATGGGCAAGTTCTATGAGAGCCATATCAAGAAGTAGCCATTGCAATCCGACCCGCGCTCCAGATGACCGAGTTTGCCGGTCGATTGGTAACCTTCTGTCCACGAATTTTAGCCCGTTGTGGTAGCGTTCCTGGAATTCAGGTTTACTATGATGAGAAATGCGCTGATTTGCCTCGAGGAATGGTACCCCAGTGTAAGTTTCACCTAGTCCACGTTCCTCCTACCAGTAGCTTGTTCGAGCGTTTCCGTCAGCCGGTGATGATATAGAAGGCGGTGGATGACATGGCGTGAACCTCTCTCTAACTCGTGTTACATGCCCCGATTACCCTATACACTGGCCAAATAAACTCCCTCGGCCTTAGTAGCGAGGCGCAATATCAATGTCATTTTTTTCTTCCAGAAGGCAGCTTATTTTGAGCCTTACACTTTAACCTCCGATTATTTACTTATATTCATAGGAATGCCATTTGTAGTTGGATTTTTGTGGCGCTATTTCTGCCCAGCCGACTTGTGGTTGACTATCGCCGTCTACTATTTAAAAACAGATAGTCCTCTGTATGGCTCAGTAAAGCCGTCCTTTCAAGGCAAATCAAACTCATGCCATTCTGACCCTTAGATGCCAATTAGATGGTCGCCCTTCGTCATACCGAATTTACAACCCGAAATAGTTTCACCCTGTTTTTTGTATTCAGTTAGGTCGCATTCTTTTGTGTTGGCAAGTATTTCTCACTATGACTTAAACGCGATGTCACTTCTGATGTCCTTATCTCGCCAATTTGTCTCACTCACGTCTTAAAGTCTATGCCAGGAAATGATTCGCCACCTTTTTATGTTAAGGAACCGTGGATTTATTCAGTCCTCTTAGCTCTTGAACAACCGCTTCATCCAGACACCTACCATTCTCTTCGTCGATTGGCCAAATCATTTCGAAAAATAGCTTCCGTGAGTTTTTCATATTTCTTTCTGTCTAACCGAAGCCCTCTTGTCTGCCATGAGCCTTTAAGGGTTGATATAAATATCCGTCTTTCAGATTCGCTTCCAGTTTATTTGAGGGAAACATAGGTGTTGAACCTTTGAACTCCCTATTTGTTACAAGCAAGCGAATTATATCAAAAATTTGAAAATGCAAACATCAACCAGCTACAGAATTTTTTTCAGATTGACAAAGTCTTCGGAACCAGACAAATAAACGAGTTGTTCCAAGTGTTAAAAACATTAACGTTAATAAATGTGTTGTACAGTAGTCTGTCTATGGATGATTGGTGCTATCTCAGTCTCTGAGGGAGATGAATTGAATGCCAACTCAAAGAAATCAGCAGGTAAGACACAGCAGTCCTGGCCGCGCATTATACGGGATGTTTGTATAAGGTCGCCTCTTAGCTGTCTGGAACTCAGTGGAAAAAGGCCGAGATTGGTTAGTCGCGTTTCATAGGGTAGTGAACCCTGTCCACTTACGAGTTTTGTTTCCCGCCTTTGAACTTTCTCAAGGATGCTGAGATCTTTAGAGGTCCAGGGTTCCCACACCTGAATAGCGAACTCTAACTGTGGCCGTACAAATGTGTGAAAGTCTTTAACGAAGCAGTCCTCACCAAATTTACTGAATCATTTTCCCGTGGGACCGACAGTGCAAGGGACGCGTAGACACCTGCGAATTGAAATTGCAGGGAGAAAATGGGATCATTGTGGTATGCAAAGTGACAGTATAAGACGCGCTACGAATCCCCTCCTGGAGAGGGGTGATGTTTTTAAATTGATCACTGCTATGCGATTGTCTGTAAGGTCTTCGGGTCGGAGCTCCAGGACGATACGGCACACCTGCGTCCCACGACCTAGCCGAAAAGACTCGAGCCCGGGGTTAAAGTATAGTTCCCTAGCTACGACTGTCCTAGTCCCCATTGTTTGTGTCAACCATGTTTATATGAGATTTGAACTTAGGTCAACACATTGAGCACTAGTGATCCCGGCTTGTGCGCAGTGTCAATATTTGCTTCCATCGGTCGTGGTGCCATCACTTCTGATGTCCCTTTTTGTGTGGTAGTGTGAAGTACACGCAATTTGCAGTCTTTCTGTTTCCCATATACTCTAAAATACTTAGACCTAGTATTTTGCGCTCCCAGTCATTTAAGTAAAAACAGGCCACAATCGATGTCCATGCTACGATTCATGTAGCGTTGAACTTCCGACTACATTCCGATACCCTTTGTATCGGCGTGTCTTAGCCATGGTTTTTGCAAAATGAAAATTCCAAATTAACTGCTATCACTGCCTTCGCCTCTCATTTTTAGAAATCGGACCAGACGGCCTCCAACAACACTGACAGGCGCTTGATGTTTTGCGAAATAGTCATTGCCATTGTTGCTTTTGTCTTTGGCCAGCTTGATCTTGTCACCTCTTAACGTGCCCCGCACCACCTGCGCAAATTGTGGGTGGTCCTACGATTTTATACATATCTGATCCTCTTATTTTTGTGGCTTGTTTCATAAAGGAGTTACATGCTTTCTTCTTTGTGGTTGTCCTATCTGTTTGTATTATGAGCCCTGACACGCCTCCGATAAAGGTGGCGTAGATAACACTCCGAGAGCAGTGCGCCTTTTTCTACCGGTTGGCTTTGATACGAATCGAGAAGACATGATATTTCTAAAGTGAGTTCGAGTTTGTTTGCCGCTTTCATTAGTTAAGACACGCAGAATGCGTCTTCTCCAAGCACAACGATCATTCCACATCGTTATGCCTTAAAGCATGTGAAGTCCTGTGGACTGGTCGTGTTCAAGACAGTTTATTTGACGCAGGTTGTGCTGCAATTTATTTGCCCCTGTCCGGACAGACCGATACGTGATTAGGAAATACCATTGCAGTTGAGATAAGTTGACACTGCGTATGCAACGCTGGCGGCTATCTTATGCGTCAGGGCTGTGTCTCCATCACGACAGGTAGTCACCTGTTCGACAAAGAACGAGTATTAGGATGTTGTCTTGGAGTGAGGACAGATGGGAGCCATGACCACGCCCGTTCTCCCTACCCACGCCTTACCTATCGCTTGGACCTATTCCGTCATGTGCACACACACGACAGTTCGACCGGCTTTTAGTGCACCGTGATAGCTTCGAGCGCGTCAGATTGTTTATAGTGCGGAAAATGTGCCGAGTCGTCCACCTCACTCTCCCTTCCCATGCCTCAGCCTTTGTCCGAGCCGGTCAGTTGACTGCAGTGGGAAATGAGTGCGGTGGCCGACACAGTCTAGTGACCTTGTCTGTGCGCGCCACATGCACTACCTGGCCCCCCAAACACAAGCATCAAGATTACACACAACGGGGGTTGAGCGGCGTACCTCACATGCTTGAGAGTGCCGTGTAAGGAGCTGCATCAGCCTCGCTCTCAGCCCACCAGTTCGCCACCCCATGCAAACACGCATAACTGAACGGACTGCGTGGACTGAATTGGGGCGTCAGTCAGCAGCCTTCCAATCCGCGGGGCCTGCCGCACCGGGATAGTCTCAGGCTCGAGTCACTCATGCAACAGGAGCCGCACAGAGACCGAGTCAAGATTCACACTCCCCACTTGCGTGGGAGGTAGTAGTTGGGTACTGTTGATGCCTGATGGGATGCTGGGGAGGGAGAATGTCATGGTTTGGTGTAGCCGGCGGTTGTCTACCGCAGGTCTTCGTGAATGCGCATGTGGCCGAATAGGCCCATGTGACGCATGAATGTACAAGGGCAGTGGAGGCGAATGCGGCAGGTATAGGTATAGCACATACACCACTGGGCAGACTGCGTGGACTGAGTTGGGATGTCAGTCGGCTGCCTCCCTAGCTACGGCCCTCGACGCACCGTTTACCCCTCAGACTCCGGTCACATGCAGCAGGGGAGCCGAGACGCACACTCCCCACTTGCGTGGGAGGTGACAGTTAGGTGTTTGAGGTGGTTGATGTTGATGTGCGGTTAGATGCTGATGAGAAAGGATGTGATGGTGTGATGCAGCCGGCGGTTGTCTACCGCGGGTTTTCGTGGACGCGCATGTGGCCTAATAGACCCATGCGGTGAATAAGTATGCGAGTGCAACGTGGACAGTGGAGGCGGACGCGGCGGGTGTAGGTCGGTGCTCCAGGCACTGGTTCTCCAGCCTCTATGCGATGGATTAGCAAGTGACCGACCAGGCCAGTGCGTGAGGTGAAGGCCCGATCGCAATGAGGAAAGGTACAGACCAGGTCCTCATCCTGGCGTTGGGGATAGTGTTGGTCTGTCGGGATTGTGTGTAATGTCGATGGGCATGGCAGAGGCCACAGCGGCAGACGTTGAGGCGGTGGAGGAGGAGGATGGTAGTAGTGGTTCGACGTTAATTGACGGCGTGGGAGAGGCAACGCCTGGTGCAGTCTGGGTGCTGCAGTTGGTCCGGAGATGTCCAAAAACTCTAATCGGCGCCCGGGATGTCCGTAGGCATCGTGGACGTGTTGGAGGCGGTTGGGCACTGGTACTTGTACTTGATACGGCTGTGATCATGCCTGATCTAGCCGGCCTCGATGATGTCCCGAATTGTACCTCTCCACGCGTGACGATCCGCGGCAGCAGATCTAGACAGCTCAACCCATTCCCTTCGCCAACGACGGAGACCGAATACCGAAGGTCCAAGAACCACCTCCATGTCTTGACGGACAGTGTCGAGCCAGGTTTTGAACTGACCCCCACTTCGACGCCTCCAATGGGGCAACGGTGTTGGATCAAGGGCAGTAACACTGGGCTCCTGAGGTGGACGACGAAGAACATGCCCGAACCACCTCAGTCGTCTTTCTCGGATGGCCTGAGTTATCCTCGCGATGTTTTCGCAGCGAGCGCGGACTATCTCATTTGAGACGAAGTCGGTTAACTTCACTCGAAGGATGATCCTCAAGCAGTGGTGGTCAAATACCTCCAGTTTTCGCTCATCTGCCGCGCGCAAAGCCCAGCATTCACAACTGTAGAGAAGGAAAGACCGGACAGATGCACGGTACACGCGAATCTTAGTGGCGATGGAGAGGTCACGTCGGTTCCACAGGCATTTCCGAAGGCTTGAAAAAACCCAGCGGGCAGCATCGATTCGGGAGACAATGTCGTCCTTACTCTGTCCATTAGACAGCAGCCGCGCCCCGAGGTATTTAAAACTGTCCACTTCTTCAAATTGACAGCCATAAATCCCCAGGGGTGCCTTCTCCTGGTCAGGGATGCAGCTTGAGAATACTTTGGTCTTCCCAGCGTTTATGGACAAACCGACTGATCTAGCGACCTCGTTCACCCGTGACACCATAGACTGCAGATCACCAAAACTTGAAGCAAGTAAGGCGATATTATCGGCATAATCGAGATCAGTCAGTCGATGTCCGGGTGCAAATTCAACGCCGCCACTGTCGCGTAGGGCCCTCCCGAGGATCCAGTCAATAGCGTAGTTGAACAGTATGGGTGACAGGATACAACCCTGTCGGACGCCAGACCGAATACCGAACGGTTGGGAAAGATTGTTACGGACCAGGACTCTCACAGTAGTGGAACGATAGTAGGCCTTGATCATGGCGATTATTTTTGCCGGTACACCATCTAGCGCCATTATCCGCCACAGGGACTCATGGTGAACGGAATCGAACGCGGCGGCAAAGTCAACGAAGCAGACGGCCGTCGGTTGTTGGTAGCTATGGTGAAATTCGAGAATGCGCCTCTGTATGAATATCTTATCTGCGCATCCACGTCCAGCACGAAATCCGGCTTGGTTGGGCCTCGTCCTTGAGTCACGCACAGCCTGGAATCGTCTGAGTAGGACAATAGCGAAGATCTTCGCAGCAAAGTCGATGAGACTTATGCCGCGGTAGTTTTCGCATCTCGTCTTATCTCCCTTCTTGAGGATAGGTACAAGGATGCCTAAGCCCCAGTCATCAGGAACAACCTCGTCTCTCCACGCTCGTTCAGTCACCTCATGGAGCCAGGGCGCCAGAGTGTCGACACAAGACTTAAAGATTTCAGCGGGTATACCGTCCTCTCCGGGTGCCTTATTGTTGCGCAACTTTCGTATGGCATCGGCGACTTCTCCCTCGGAGGGGGGATCGCATGGCACTGCATAGGTAGGAGAGGGAAAAAACTCCGCTGAGGAGGAGAACAAGGGCGATGTAGGTTGGGTATCGAAGTTGAGATGGTGCTCAAAGTGCTCACGCCAGCGCTCGTATTTGGCCGAGTTGTCAGCAATAAAGCCGCCGTTCACATCGCGAACAGAGTCACTCAGTGTAGAGGGCTTACCGCTAACTTGGCGGATCAGACGATAGAGCTTTCGAGCGTCACCAACGTTCGAGGTCTGTTCCATGGATGTCGCTATTTCAGCCCAATATTGTTTCCGGTCATCCCTGGCCGATTTTGCCGTCATCTTCCGAAGTTGGCGGAAGTAGTCATCGTTGCGGAACCTGGCTCTAGCCGTCTGAGCAGACAACTGCAGGGTTCTTCCGCTGATCCAGTCACTGCGGCGTCGCTGGGTTTATCCAAGGATTTTCTCAGCTGCCCCATAGACTGATGTCTTCAGTGACGACCACTGGTTACTGACTTCTCCGTCGGCTCGGGCCGTAAAACAGGTCCGGATTTCTCTGCTTAGGGCCTCGGCAGTGCTGGCTTGCCGGATTTTTGCGACATTGAGGTGTCTAGGACGTGGCATTTTTGGTGCGGATGAGAGATGAACTTTCAGGCGTGTACGGACGAGGACATGGTCCGACCCATGGGCGTTACCAGCTTCGGCATCACGCATCGATCTGCTATCGTGAACCCGGCCGTGGAACCTTGAGCTGACTAGTATGTAGTCAATCTGATTGGCCGTACGACCGTCGTTTGAATACCAGGTCAGCAGATGTGTTTTGTGATGCTGGAAGCATGTGTTGGTGACAAGCAGTCGGTTTCGATCAGCGAAATTCAGCAATCTCTCACCATTTTCACATCGGGAACCAAGCCCAAAGCGGCCAAGAAGATGACTGGTTGTGGGGTCGCCAGGTCCAGTTCGACCATTCCAATCGCCAGCAACAATCAGCAGATCGCGGGGAGGCAGTCTTTTAACTAGCGCTTGCAACTGAGAGTAAAACGCCTCTTTATCGCGCTGTTCGGCAGCCGAAGTTGGTGCCTACACAGCGACGATGGAGATGTTCGTGAAGTGACCCTTCAGTCGCACGTAGGCCATCCGGTCATTTACTGGTTCCCAAGCAAGTAGCGCAAGCTCCGCTTGTTGTGATAGGGCGATCGCCACCCCGTGTCGACCAGAGGAATCGCGGGGGCCGCTGTGGTACAGGGTGAAGTGGGATTCGACTCCCGGGACCTTTATTTCACGAGAGCCCGAGTCAGGGAGTCGTACCTCAGACAAACAGCAGACATCCACGTTGTACTGATGAAGGCTGCGTGCGGTCAGACTTTGGGTACCAGGGTCCAGGAACGTTCGTACATTCCAGCATCCAATACCGAGAGTCTGTCCACGATTGAATAGTCCAGCTCGCATACTATTCGCCCGCACCACTGGACTAGGGTTGCGGAGCGCGTCGGTTCCCGCGGACGCCGTAGCATGGGTCGTCGTACTGTGATCGGACATGTTGCATGAGGTTTCTTGGGAATTTCGAATACGGGCGGGTCCCCAACAGCCGCTCCGATTGTTTGTTCGAGGTTGTCTCCTCTAGCGCTTTGGCTTAAAAACCTAACCACAAGGCAGCGGTGGCAAGTAAACTTATTTAATGGCGGTTTACGGTCGCCATGTCACAATGCCGTCATTGGGCTTTGCGGCATTTTATAAGGCTTTCAGCGTGCCAGACTTCAGCCCACCGCCCCCTGGTAGCAATGTCGCTGCTGGTCCGCGACTGCTTATTCGTCAGACCTGGGTGTGCTTATTTCGCAGCTAACCTTCACTGAAGATCGTCCCACTATCCGCCACCTGTGGACGCGCCGGGTAGCCAGCAGCTAGGCTAACGGGCAACCCGTCTTCCCGGTTGGGCACTGGCGTCACGAAGTGGGCACAGTTGAGATTTGCGGACCTCGCCTTTGGCTTTCGTGGCGGCTATGCGGTTGGCTTCGTAGACCGCTATTCCTGCCTTCACTGTCCTCCCTCAGGTCGGTCGGTCTCAGGTAAGGTCTTTCCACTTGGCCAGGTTAATTTGCAGACGCTTCAGGGAGGTATTCAGAGTGCCCATCTGTCGACGGAATTGGCCTCCTTGGCGGCGAGAATCCCTGGCGACATCTCTATAGAAGAGCCGCTCGTTGTCCATTCGCACGAGGTGGACACCCCAATGTAGTTACAGTTGTCCCATCATGATGTAGATGCTGAGGATTCCCCTCCGCTTCAGTACGTCACTGCCGGGTGTCCGGTCCTGCCACTTCAGCTTCAGTATCCACCGAAGACAGCAGGGGTGGAAGCGATTCAGTCTCCGCGTATGCTTCTTGTAGACCATCCAGATCTGCGCTCCATACAGCAGCGTCGGTAGGATGACTGCCTTGTACATCTTCAGCATCGCGTTGAGATGGAGACCGTGACGGTTCAAAACGGTGTTCTGCTGACGGCCGACGGCCTGACTGGCATTGTATATGTGGCGGGCAACTTCGTCGTTGATTTTGGTGGTGCGGGAGAGGGTGCTGCCCAGACAAGTGAAGGTGTCCACCACTTTCATTTGGGTTCCGTTCACGCTAATTTGCGGCGCACTGGGCTGTATTGGGCGGCGGTTGATGCCTAACCCTCGTCTTCTCCGTGTCGATAATCAGGCCGAAGTTCTCGTAGGCGGCATCGAAGAGATTCATGCTCCTTTGTATTTCTGAGGTGGTGTTGAGGGAACAGGCGTCGACGAAGAGAAGTTCATGAACGGCAGTTGTGGATACACGTGACTGGAAGTGCTTCCGTTGGTGGTTGGGGAGTTGGCAGTCCGTTATGTAGGCGATGGGTATCGCAGGGCGTTCGTCACGGTAGGTATCCATCAGCATGGCAGCGAACATGAGACTGAAGAAGGTAAGCGCGAGGACGCAGCCCTGCTTCACTCCGTTGGTCACTGTGAATGCCTCTGAGACAGCTCCATTGTCCGTGACTCGCGCGATCATGTCATCGTGGAGCTGACGCACCATGTGAGTGAACCGTTCGGGACGGCCGAATTTCTGTATGATTTTCCACAGTCCTTCACGATTCACCGTATCGAAGGCTTTCATCAGATCCACGAAGTTGGAGTACAGGTGGGTCCGCATCTCCTAACACTTCTTCTGGAGTTGGCGGGTGGCGAACATCACGTCCGTGGTCCCGCGATGACGGCGAAAGCTGTACCGGCTTTCCAGCAGTAAGCCTTGTTCTAAGTGGTTGTTAAGGTGGTTGAGAAGGATGCGATCAAAGATTTTCCCGGCGATGTTCAGTGGGGAGATGCGTTGGTGGTTGTCGCAGATTTTGCAATTTTACTTTTCGTTTATATAGATGAGCGATTGTGACGTCTTTGAAATCCTGCGCAATTTCTCCTTTACGCTAAATCTCCTGGAAAAGGGCGGTCAGATTATCCATGAGTTGGGATCCATCGTGCTTGTAGATTTCAGCAGGGATCGCGTTCGATCCGGGCGCTTTCTCGCTGAGGAGCTACTGACCGACCGTGGTGTTCTCGTGGTGGTGGTGGTGGCGGCGGCGGCGGCGGCGGCGGCGGCGGTGGCGGCGGGACGGTTGAGGACGCCTTTTAAATGATCGGCCCATCCCTGTAGAATTCGTCTCCTTAGTGCGTTGGGTGCTCCCGTCGGCGCTGAGAATAGGTGCAGTACACTAACTCGGCTGACAGTAAACAGCTTTGATAGCGGAGAAGAAGTTCTTCCATTCGTTGCGGTCCGCGAACTCTTGCATCTCGGCCTCACGAACCGTCCAGATGTCCTACATCTCGCGGAGCCACTGTTGCCCTAGGTAGCGTTAACTGTAGGAAACAGTTGTTGGCTTCGGTGGGGCGGTCGACGTAGGCTTTGTGCAGGCGGTTCTCTGGGAGCAGGCTATTGATGGCGGTATCGTTGTCGTCGAACCAGTCCTGGTGTTGGCTGCGTGCGTGACCGAGGACGGCCAGGGTTGTTGACTGGACTCTGCCTCGTAGTTGATGCCATCGGTCTCCCACGGAAGCGTTCTCGTCGGCGGCGGCGACTGGAAGTTTGGCTAGCCGTTGAACTTGCTCATTGCTGAAATGGGGAAGGTGAGCAGGCAAGGACAAAAAAGCAATACCCAGCTCACCTGTGAGTCGCTTACCTTGTGGTCTCCTGTGAGGCTGTATGCGAATCCGCATCTTGGAGATGACGATACTATGGTCAGCTCACCCGTCGGCATCCGGGATCGCCTTTGTCACCAGCACGTCCCGCCAGTCTCGCCTCCGAATGAGGACATAGTCCATCGGGGGCCAGTGTCACGACCGATGATACATCCAGGTGGCCTTCTCTCGCATCGGGAGGCAGAATAGTGTGTTTGCTAGGACCTGCGCAGCAGGTTCATAGGGGGAGCAGGCCATTTTCATTGGAGCCGTCGAGACCATGGGAACCCAGCACTCTTCTCCAGGCAGCATGGCCTGTGCCGGCGCGGGCGTTGCAGTCACCAAGGACAATCAACTTATCCGCCTTCGGCACAGTCGTTAGGATGGCGTGCAGAGCCTCGTAGAATTTGTTCCTTAAGGCGTTCGGTTGGTCACTGGGGAAGCTTAGACGCTGATGATTGTGGCGAATTTGCCTCCCCGAAGAGGCACGCGGAGGCTCATCAGGCGCTCGTTGATGCCCTGCAACAGACAGGACAGTCGCCCCACGATGTCGTTCCTGATGACAAATACGACACCCGCGTCCCGTCTCTCTGCTATGAGGTCAGATCTCCAGAAGACGGTGTAGCCGGCACCTACCTCCTCCAGTTGGACTATGTAGTTCGGCGAACCGGGTCTCGCTGAGTGCAGCGATGTCCACCTTGTAGTGCGCAAGTTCCCGAGCCACTAATGTCCTCCTCCGTTCCGGTCGGTTGCTCCTCGTATCGTCTTAAAGCGAACGAACATTCCGGGCTGCCAGAGTGAGTGAACTCACCCCACCAGTCCGGCAAGTGGGGCGCCGGGGAGCAGGAAGAGGAAGAAGAGAGTGTGTTGTTTCTTGTTTGATTGTTTCGACCATATGTTTTTCGTCTGAGGCTACGGTCAGCCTTTAGACGGCGTGGTTCTCCAGAATTTGTTTAAAGCACCTTTTCTAGCCCCTTTTTCCCTCGCGCAGGTGAGTAGTGTTATCCTAAATGGGGCTGCTCAGGTGTGTTAGGCGGCTACCGAATTCAACTATGTGCTACGTCTTTGTTTAGTGAAAGAATGACCCGAGTTATCCTGGGACAGCGTACGACATCGCCCTAAGCTGAAGGAGACGAGGGTAGAGAGACGGGATGCAGAGCTTTCCCGTCATTCTCTAGGGTAAGTGGTTGCTGAACAATAAACGGTGAGCAGACACAATCAACAAAGTGGAATTTAGCTTCCAGTATGGACAGACACACAAAAGCAAGCAGGCAGAACAACAAGAAGCAAAAGCAACAGGGGAGATTCAACAGAACGGCAGTCAGCTTTAACAAGGACAGATCCGACATCAGACAGAGAACAGGCAAACAAGAACAGGCGAAACAAAGACAATAGAGCATTTTTTGCTAACCGAGAGGCTTACTTACCTTGTGGCCTCCTACGGTGTACCAGATGTAGCCTCGTCTTGACGACGCCGAGGCGAAGATCCATTCGACCATCGAAGTCGAGATTACCGTGCGCGGAGATGCACACATGGATACACTCACCCTGTTTAGCTTGCCGGCCAAGGCGGTTACGGGATGTAGCTGTTGGGCAGAGCGTAGCTTCGGGGAGCCTCGTGAGAGTTAGGTTCGAGCAAATGGACGCTAGGCGTAGTTTACGCCTGCAAGCAAATGAGCAACCTACCACGTCCGTCACGTGAACCCACCACTGGACACCCCTACAGCCCATGCGCACCTGCACGACAGTCATCACTACAATATCACTCATGGCTTGTGCAGTAATTTCCTCTAGGGCCATGTACGCACATGTTAGAATTATTCATCGATTTCACTCCTGGGTCCCCTATCATCTATACTGTTGTGTGCGACACACTACGCAGGTGCTCTCGCTGCCTCGGCCGCTGTGTCAGATGTGATCACTAGCCGGCAGAAGGTCTGCTGATGCGTGGGAGGGGATAGGGCATTTCAAAGCGATACCAGGGTTTCGTTCCTCCTGGCAAGTCTGCACATTCTTCACCATAATACGTCGCACTCCTGGAGACCATATCCCGCTAAAAGTTGTAGGTGAGAAGTTGCCAGAAGAGGGACGGAAATAGTTTATTGGAGATAGAATCAGGCTTCTTTTGTTCCTTAATTTGGTCCTTGTGGTATCTCAATTCTGTGGCGTCCGAGGCTGTTGGTGCACGTACTATAAACAAACAAACTTGCTTTGGAACTGCTGCGTCCTAGCACTAGTAGCATGGAAAATTGCGCTTCTTAAAAAGGATGTTCGGGTAACAATGACTTCTTCATAGTGCTCGTATTGAAATCGCTCATGCCTGATCCGTGTGGACTTACGGAGCGACTGATGCGTGACATGCAACGGGCTGTCTAGCTATGTCAGCCACTGCGTCCGCATGCACTTTTAGTCGTTTTGTTTGCGTCCTCGTACTGGACCAAAGCAAATGTGGACGAGATATGCATGGAAATCCCAGGATTGTGCTAAGCCTATTCGCTTACAACTGTTAAATAATAATCTGCTGGTATATGTACAGATCGTCTTACTCCATCATCGGTCGTGCGAGGACTTTGCAGCATTCAGTGCTATTCCGTCATGCTCTCAATTGGTGCTCGACTTATTTTTCACTCTGTAAATACTGCTTTGCATTGTGGACACGGACTGTCAGTTACATTGACGGAGGTAGTTGCCGTCAAACGCGGTGAAAATTTTGATTGTAGGTTAATAAGTGTAGAACGTATCCCGTGCCAATAAAAGCAAAAATGGGAGTTCCGGGAAGAATTCGTGAAGAAGGAGACATGATCGCTAGAACAGGAGCTTAATTAGCCCGACGTTTCGGATTCTCATTCAAATTCGTCATCAGAGACAGAGTCAGATAAGGGAAGTAAATTCTCCGGGCGTTGCGGTATTTATAGGGTGTAGTTACTAGGCTGCTACATGCCTGTCGCAGCTGGCAACTCCCGAGAGCATCACGGCTAGACTGGCCAGATGTTTAAATATGCAGTTGCCATTTGTTTCTGTGCCGGCCACGATTACCAGCTCCCACGCTCATCGCACGCAGTCGAGTTGCCGACTGCTGGATTTCATCATCCGTGTGAACTTTTGGACAATTCGACCCGCCGACATTGACACAAGGTTTCCTTGGGGCTAACTATTTTGCCAAGGTAGTCTCAGTGCCGAATATGGAGAAGGAAGGTCATTACACTTGCTGAGGACGGAAAGATCATAACTCGAGCAGTTCACGGCTCATGAGGTTATCGTCTTTAGCAAGAATTTCTGCTTCATCAAACTTGAATGTATGGTTGTGTCCTGTTGAGTGAGCTGCGACTTGGGAGCTGCGTTATTCCTTCCTTCTGCTTTTGTGTGCTCGTTTATCCGCGTCTGGAGTAGTTTTCCGGTTTCACCGGCATAGTTTCGCTGCTCATAACTGCCTCAGACTCGGTACATGAGCTCAGATGTCTATTGCCATGGCAATGGATCCCTCGGTCTCATGATTCGGCTCATTATGGTCCTTACAGACTCCTCGACGCATGCTTGGAATCGGTTTCTGCAGATGTGCCTCGACAGCAACTTGTTCGTTATGTGTCTTGTGCAAGCCTCTTTTATACACGACGTTTGCGCGGCGACTGCATTTTAACACGGCTGAAATATAATCATAATGCTCATTGAAGACTGCTACAGTAGGTTTGGCATGTAGGTTTAGCAGAGTACTATCCTACAGAAGACAAAATCGCATGAGTTTTTGGGCGATTTAGATGCAAATCTGCTCGCGCAGAGGGTGTATGAATGTGTCCGCGAACGGAGAGCGGTACTGGATACAGCACCAGAGGACAAATTTAGAGAGCTATCTAAGCCAGCGCCTCCCAAGAACGACAAACTGGTGCACAAACTGTTGTTAAAGGAACTGACGAAGCATCAAATACAGGTGTTACGGCATGAAGATTCATTAAGAACAGCTGATGCCAAACCCGTCAAGGTGATTGCAGCGGTGGAATCGATTCTCAGACGGACGCGATGACCGAGACCAAAATATCTCGGCGGCAGTTAAACATTCTCAATCCCTTATTTATACCAATGATCTCAAATGTGTATATTATTTCAATCAATCTACGGGTATTCACTGCCTGGGGCAAATCCATACCGACTTACCTGCTCCCTTGGAGCTTAAAATGGCTAATGGAATTCTCTCCGTCTAAATGTTCGTGGATGTGTTTTGGACCTGAGAGGTTACCCCAACCAGCGGTCTTTCAAGGCAAACATATGACTGAATGTACCACCATCAGGGATTTAGGCTTAAGTTACACAAATAATCTTGATCTCTCGCTACATGTTGACAGAATTACAGCCAAAGCTGCCCGGATTGGTGGCTTTATTTTTTTACAATTTCTATCATCCTGAAATTAAATTAAGTCTCTATCGTACGTTTGTACTTCCCATTGTCGAGTTATGTTGCCCATTCTTTGATTTGATGAACGAGGCTGGTCGTTTAAAAATCGAAAATGTCCAGAGACGTTTCACTAGAAAACTTTTAGACCAGGAACATCCAAATATCTCCTACTCAGATGGATGCCAGCTAATTAAGTTAAACTTTTTATGGGTTTGAAGACTAGAAGCCGGCTTCTGTCTCCTCGTTCACATTAATAACAGTTCAAATCTCCCCGGATTTCAGCACTTACCCCTAGCAGTCGCGCATACAATCTTCGCAAATCTCCCTTGGTTATACATCCTCCAGCTTTCTCCTCCTCTAAGGGTTCTCTTTTTTGCTTCCAGATATACTTCCCTCTGGAATAACCTTGTAGCGTCTAAGCGGTGATGGTGTACGCTCAGTACGCCACAACTTCAGGCCATATCCCAAGTTGTTAGAATTAGGACGCCATTTCGTTAGGACACTTTATTCTGTACAGAATAGTGAAGAGGGAAGTTGGCAACCGGACGAGGATGCGTCCGGCGCCGCGGAGGCGACGTCCGCGAGAGCGATGAGCCCTGTGTCGCCGAAGGTCGCCGCTGCAAAATTGTCGTTGCTAATTGTTTACTCTATTGTTCTGGACTGTTCTCGCCTGTCTTACCAATCAGCTATAGGAGTTGCGTTGATTGGCTCCGAGCTCACGCGAAGGTAGTGACAAGCCTCGCATGATGCAGGCAGAGAATCGACCGAATGCGTGGCAAAGACAGTGAATTGCAACGAGACAAATCGAAGCCAGGCAGACGTGCGTGCCATAGCAGGCTGTCGCTAGGACGAAGGTGCAGGCGCTAGCGAGAGGCGCGACGTGGCCATTATGGCTGTCCACTACAAACTTCCAACAAATATAAGATTCTCAGATGATCTACACACTTTTAAGAGAAGGCAACGCCTTTGTCTGAACAGTGACTCGATTAAACTTTTATTTTTCTCATCCGTCCCGGACAACTTTCTCTATGACTCTGACAAAGGACCACCAGAAATATAGGACGCCGCTGTTAAATTTCCGTATTTGCTCACATTTCCTTCTTTCGTGAGTCGTATCGCTTCCTAAGATCCCTCATCAGGATTGTTGATTTTTCGATTTTTCAGTTCATGCATTGTGCCCTCACTAAATGCGCTCTATCGGCGCTCTTGGCGGAGCCTTCTATGTTCGCCATATGCTAGTAGTCTGGTCGAATCTCCCTTGCCCTCTCTTCGGCTGGATCTGGCTGACCGCATCTGGGTTCTTATTGCCTCGAGAGTGGTTTTCAATTCGCCACTTTGACATGAATGACCTCATCCGTCATATGAATTCTGCCTTAATGATGCCCGTTTCGAACCTTTTACTCAAGACCACATAGAGGCCAGTCCTGCCTGACTCGCCTAATTACCCCTTTATGAAATCCGTTATACAATGCCGTATAAAAGCCGGTCGTGCCTGCTTTTTACATTAATCAGCGAGAGTTTTCTTCTCCTATAGTTCTAATTCAACCATACTCATTTTGTTTATATTAGGAGTTTTTTCACTCAACATTCTTCGTAACATACTATTTGTTCAATAACTATGACTTAAGTATCGTATAAACTCTGTATACCCGTCTAAAATTAATGTAAAAGTTATTCTTACTTGCTATGATAGGACCCCCGCGGGTCTTGAATAGAAATTTATTATTATTAGAACTTTATCCAACCTCAAATGTTTTCTACCTTTGTGGCTCACAGGCCGCGCAAAGTGCTGTCTAAGGTCGAACGCGACGCACTCAGTTGACTTAAGTCCCAACTAAAACCTTGCTATCGTGCTCCACTGGTGTTTTGGGCAGGAAATATTACCGTCAGAGGGCCAAACGCCTGTTGGAGAGCCGACAGTCCTATGCCTATTGCGCAACCGCCCCGTAAAAACGCGGACATAAGAAATCAGTGCGACGTTGTTGACATTGAAGAACTCCGGTGCAGTATAATGGATTGACTGCAACATGGCGAGAGAGCAGGAAACGACGCTTGCCCGCTTCTGTGGCCTTCCCAATGTGCACAAAAAGGATGCCCCCTCCGGCTCACCGTCACACTCAAAGGTACCCCAACCTACAGACTGGTAAGATGCGTGCTTCGGCGTCTCAAATTTCTGGCCGCAAATTCACACACTGCAGTCAGTTCGCTAACATAATTCTCGGGGAACTTAAAAGGAAAAATCCGTTTCCAAGCGATGCCATGGTATCCTTTGGTGTCACATCCCGTTCGACTTCTATTCCTCAGAACTTGTCTGGCGAGACTGTCGAACTACTCCTACGAGGAAAATGCGATGAAACTGAGAATCGTATTGGACACGCCCTAATACTCTGACTCCTGTAGTTCATTCTCAAGACGTACTTCACATCCGACGGAACAATCTACGAGCAGATGATGGGCACGCTGATGCGTTCGCCAATTTTGTGACTCATAGCCGAGCGGTTCTACAATGGTTGTAGTCGCTGGTTGTCCGACACCACAGACCGAAATTTTGTGCTCAGTTTGTGGATTATGCACTCGTGGTTATCGAACGGGATCAGGTGTCGAAATTCAAAGAACGCCTCACCAAAATCTTCAAGGACATCCAATTTACAATGAAGTAGGAGGAAGCAAATTAGTTAGCCTTTTCAGATGTCCTTGTCTGCCGCGAAAATTGTGGTGGCCCCAAGAACAAAGTATTCAGAAATGCGACAACCATGACGCAAGTACTGAGCTACAACAGCAACCACCCAACCACCCAGTTGCGTAAGTGCACTAAGCCAGCGTTTGGATACACTGCAGTGATACGGAAGACAATTCTGATAAACTAAAATACATTCGGCGGTTGCTTTGAACGAACGGATACCGTCGCAACTTCGTCAACCAGCGCCTGAGCAAACGAGGTAGCAGACGAAATCCAACAGGTCCCAAATTTCGGCGACTTCTGCCGTAATTAAGGATGTCTTGCAAACCGCCAATCACCGTTTCTTACCCATTGAAATAAGAGTTACACAAAAACTAAGAAAACCATATTGTGCCAAATCATGAGGCCGAGGGATCCATTGCCATGGCAATAGACATCTGAGCTCATGTACCGAGTCCGGGGCAGTTATGAGCAGCGAAACTATGCCGGTGAAACCGGAAAACTACTCCAGACGCGGATAAACGAGCACACAAAAGCAGAAGGAAGGAATAACGCAGCTCCCAAGTCGCAGCTCACTCAACAGGACACAACCATACATTCAAGTTTGATGAAGCAGAAATTCTTGCTAAAGACGATAACCTCATGAGCCGTGAACTGCTCGAGTTATGATCTTTCCGTCCTCAGCAAGTGTAATGACCTTCCTTCTCCATATTCGGCACTGAGACTACCTTGGCAAAATAGTTAGCCCCAAGGAAACCTTGTGTCAATGTCGGCGGGTCGAATTGTCCAAAAGTTCACACGGATGATGAAATCCAGCAGTCGGCAACTCGACTGCGTGCGATGAGCGTGGGAGCTGGTAATCGTGGCCGGCACAGAAACAAATGGCAACTGCATATTTAAACATCTGGCCAGTCTAGCCGTGATGCTCTCGGGAGTTGCCAGCTGCGACAGGCATGTAGCAGCCTAGTAACTACACCCTATAAATACCGCAACGCCCGGAGAATTTACTTCCCTTATCTGACTCTGTCTCTGATGACGAATTTGAATGAGAATCCGAAACGTCGGGCTAATTAAGCTCCTGTTCTAGCGATCATGTCTCCTTCTTCACGAATTCTTCCCGGAACTCCCATTTTTGCTTTTATTGGCACGGGATACGTTCTACACTTATTAACCTACAATCAAAATTTTCACCGCGTTTGACGGCAACTACCTCCGTCAATGTAACTGACAGTCCGTGTCCACAATGCAAAGCAGTATTTACAGAGTGAAAAATAAGTCGAGCACCAATTGAGAGCATGACGGAATAGCACTGAATGCTGCAAAGTCCTCGCACGACCGATGATGGAGTAAGACGATCTGTACATATACCAGCAGATTATTATTTAACAGTTGTAAGCGAATAGGCTTAGCACAATCCTGGGATTTCCATGCATATCTCGTCCACATTTGCTTTGGTCCAGTACGAGGACGCAAACAAAACGACTAAAAGTGCATGCGGACGCAGTGGCTGACATAGCTAGACAGCCCGTTGCATGTCACGCATCAGTCGCTCCGTAAGTCCACACGGATCAGGCATGAGCGATTTCAATACGACCGGCGACGAACATGTGTATTAGGTTATTGCAAGTCGAAATTAACTTGAAGTAACGCATATTGATAACGCCCTACTGTGCTTCGCCGGCGTTCGATCCAATGCCTTTTGGGAAGAACATTCGAGACGAGCCGGTCTATGATTCGTATATTCTGATCGATCAGGCCCTAGAGGAAATGCCAATCGAGAGGCGCCACGATTAAGATGACAGTGCAGTAGAGCAAACGCACTTGGCTTCCCGTGATTTGCTGGCTCTTGTTTTTGGGAGTATAGGCACTCCCAACATCGTGTCCTTGAAATCCTGAGAAACTGAAACAACACCTCCTGGAGTAGAATTGTGATCTTTCCATTAGTCAGCACTAACGTTAATGTAAATTTCGACTGCAATCTCATCGAATTGGGTTGCCATCATCTCTGGAGAGATGGTTCAGGGATGCTGACGACGATCTTGATTATTTGTTTCCCATTCCAAGGGCCGGCCGCTGGCGGCATCAGAGATGGTCCACAGGTAGAAGAGAACACTTCAAAAGTTTCTGGCTTAGCTTTTCAGAATTTGCAATTTCTCGATGTGGAGCTATGTTTCGTCGAAATGTATACAGTCTCGATTAAAGGGAGAAGACTCATTGTTTTATTGCAGCGCACGTATCTTGAGATCTCTTCGGTTTTGCGAACCATTTGGAGGTAAGCCATCCCTAGCACCCGTGACTGGACAAGGCGGAGACATCTCAAGTAAACCGCTTTGTCTGCACCGCTACGGTGGTCAATATATGCTCTCTGCAGTTCGGGCTTGTTTGCGATTGCATACATCGGTGTCCTCATCGTCAAACTAGTCCTGGATAACTCGGAGTGGAGCGAGAGCAATCCAGCGTAAGGAATCCCCAGAAAACAATCATGTGGTGAATAAGACAACTACTGTTAATAGTCAAGTCGTGGCTTCCGATGAAAAAAAGAATAAGAAGAACAAGACGACACTTAACACCACAGGGAAAAGTCACCAGAATACGAAAGAGAGTATATTAGTATATCCCGAAAAGCGGTTGAAAAATGAAACTAATGTAAATGTGCCAACGGAAGAAGTGGAAGAAATGGGGCAGATTACGCTCAACCTTAATAATTCCCAGACAGTGTTCTCATTTCCCGAGCCTACCTTAGAGGGATTATCAATTAGCGCAAGGACATATGGCTGTGGACCCAGGGTGGAATTAGCAGCCGCCGCGAATTACCATGTCAACAGAGTTAAGAACCGAGCAGAGGAAGCCTCTAATTCAGGGGGGTCAAGCTCTCCACATAACCCTCTGATGGAAGGCATTGTTGATAGATCACACTGTGCAACTATTCACGATGCCCCAACAGGATCCGCGGACGAACTTCATGGGGACATAAATACCAATATGGCAGCCCCTTCCTCTTCTCCAGTCCACTTCGACGAGGCAATAGGGCCAGCCAACGACATCCAAATCGCAGAAAATAGAGAAATGCTTAACAAGGACCACTGTGTCATAATTCAGGGTCTCCCAGAGTCCTCCGCTAGTTCCCCCAGGGAACGAATCGCTGCTGACTTAGAGCAATTCCAGAAACTCCTAAATGAAATGCTGCAACCAACAGAAGATATCACAGTCCTAAAGGCGTTTCGTCTTGGTAGCCGTACAAATGCCGCACCGAAGACGCGACCAAGACCCCTGAAAATCGTCCTAGGTAGCAATGACCAGGCGAAACGAATCCTCTCCAGGCGTTTTCGATTGAAGCATTCTCATAAAGGAGTGTTTTTTCTGCCGGACTACTCACCTGCCGAGAGAATGAAACGCCGCGAACTTGTCCTAGAATTGAGAATACGGCAAACCAACGGAGAAAAAAACTTAACAATCTACAAAGACCGGATTGTCAAACGACATTCCGCTCACCTCTGGATCGAGCCGATCCAAATGACCGCAAAGCTACCCCAGTAGCCCGTGTCGGGTTTGAAAACAAATCTCGCATGAACACGAAACTCATATTCATGTATACCAACGCGCAAAGTGTACTTTCAAAACTGGACGAACTCCGTATCCATACCTACGACCTCCATCCAGACGTTATCTCAATAACAGAAACATGGTTGTCCGAACAGGTTGATGATAGAGAGCTCATGCTCCCTGGATATCAACTGTTCCGCCGAGACAGAGAAAACAGAAGGGTTGGAGGCATAGTAACATTTGTTAAGAATGACTTGCACGTTTCAGAAAAAACTGCCCAACTGACTTGTAGTACCGAAGCATTATGGCTGACCATAAGGGCACCGGGCTCTCAAAATAGAATAGAATAGGTTTACTGCAGCGCCTCTTGGGCGCTGTCTGTCCCCTTTGAATTCAGGAAAAAAACCTAAAACAAACTCGTCAATTTCAACTGCACTTTGACTTCATTTGCCTCGGGTGTCTGGTTAGCCAAAAAAGCGAGAATTGAGAGTTTGCTTTAAGTTAAAAAAAACCTAAGTTCTAAGGGAAAATGGTACCAAAATTTTCAAAAAATAACGATATGTACAATAAAAAAATTGAAGTTTGCAGTTTGGTAGTTTTCGGGGGCATGAATAATATGTCCTCATGGCAATTGAAGAACTTTGACATCGGCCTGGCCTTGAAATTATTTTCCTGTTGGGTAAATTTCGGTGTGCTCTAGTTGCTGGTTGTCAGTTTATCTGGCCAGCTGTAAGGGGGTGGTCGCACAGTTCCTACGTGTTTTTCAGGAGGCTTACCATCGTTGTCTGGATTAAGAGCTGGAAAAGATGAATATATATATCAGGAGTAAGAAGCATTCAATGGTAAGTCTCGATATCTTGACAGTATATCGCCCCCCGAGAAATGACCCTGACGCTGATGCCCAACTTCTGGTGAAGCGCAGATTATTTTCAACGCGGCCGACTACTCTCATCGTTGGAGATTTTAATGCACCTCACATCGACTGGAGCTCAGCCTCAGCCGACTGCTCTGAAGCAGCATTTGACCAGCAGCTACTGCGTACCTCCGACAACCTGCTTCTCGCACAACACGTAATGTTTCCAAGGAGAGTTCGAGAGGGCCAACAGATGAACTGCCTCGATCTTGTGTTCACCAAGTCGTCTGACAACATCGACGTTGTGAATTGCCTCCCCCCGTTGGGTCAGGGTGAGCATGTAGTTCTCATGTGGGAATACACATTATTCTCCCTGCCTGCACAACCGCTCGATTCCCGACCTAATATTTGGCGCGGCGATTTCAAACAGATGAAAAAGGATCTTAGTCCTATCTACTGGGTATCCACTCTCTCCGACGATGTCGAAGAGGCTTGGTGTCAGTTCAAAGAGTTAGTCCACAACCTCATCTCCAACCACTGCCCAATCATGCGCAGAAGACTAACAAATAGACCTCGCTGGTTGACTCCGTCATTAAAGAAGGAAGTTAACAAGAAGAGGAAGCTATGGAAAAGATCGCTGATGGGTCGCACGCCAGAATCCCTAAGCAGTTATAAATTACAGAGAAATCGGGTCAAAATTCTCATCGCCAGAGATAGGAAAGCTTTTGAAAAGAATCCTTTGGACCGTGTTATGATTAATCCAAAAATCCTTTACAGCTACATAAGACAGAGCACACGGAAAAAAGATCCTGTCCCACTGCTGCGAACGGCTGAGGGTGTGGAAATCTCCGATGACAAGGATAAGGCTGAACATCTCTCTCAGTTCTTCCGATCAGTCGTGACAAGTGAACCTGCTTTTTCCTCACCCGCTTATGAAGACGAAGAAACGCCTACCCTCGAAGCCGTCTTCTTCACTGAAACAATTGTTCGGAATGAGTTACTAAACCTAAAAGAATCGACCTCCCCAGGCCCTGATGCAACCCCGGCCAAGCTGCTGAAGGAGCTAGCTCCCGAAATGTCCAAGCCGTTAGCCTTGATCTTTCAAACGTCATTCGTTACTGGATGCCTGCCCTCTGACTGGAAGTCCGCTACCATCACTTCGCTTTTTAAGGGTGGATGTCGTGCGTCTGCGAATAACTACAGGCCAGTGAGCCTTACCTCCATCTGTTGCAAAATCATGAAGAAGATCATTAAGAAGGCCATGGTGCAGTTCCTCGAGCAGCCCCATCTCCTTTCCGATGCCCAACACGGCTTTCGAAGTGGTAGGTCCTGCCTCACGAATGTGCTCTTTACGCTTGAATGCTGGAGCAAAGCACGCGATGAAGGCAATGTGGTGCACGCCATCTACATCTACTTCAAAAATGCTTTCGACAGCGTTCCTCACCAACGTCTCTTGTATAAACTGCGCAACGCTGGAATTCGTGGACGCCTTCTTGTATGGATTCAGAGCTTTTTGGCTGGACGGTCCCAAAGAGTGCAGGCCGGGCGTCAACAGTCCTCAGATGTAAGCGTGGTGAGTGGCGTCCCACAGGGCTCAGTCCTAGGTCCCACGTTATTTCTCGTTTTCATAAATGACTCCGTCAAGGACCTAGACTGTGATGCCATCCTGTTTGCCGACGACATAAAATTGTGGCAATGCGGCAGACGCAGACCACCTGCAAGCAAACTTGAACAGGCTCGAAGACTGGTCGAAGCGCTGGCTTATGCCCTTCAATATAAGCAAGTGTAACTTTCTTCAACTCGGCGGCTTCAGAGCCCCCTGCCCCAGGACCTACTTTCTACACGGCCCACCACTGCAAGAGGTTGACAGTCAGAAGGACCTGGGTGTATGGACTGCATCTTCACTCAAACCAACACTGCACTGCGCGAAGGCGGCTAACTCGGCTACGGCCACATTGCAACTCATTAGGCGAGCATTTATGGGATTTGACCCTGACTGCTTTTCCAAAATATTTGGCACCTTCGTGCCACCTCATCTAGAATATGTCATACAGGCGTGGAGACACTGGACTGCCAAGGATTATACCGTCTTGGAGAAGGTCCAGAGACGGGCAACCAAAATGACACAAGGTCTGGGAGCACTGCCCTATGAAACCAGACTGTTAATATTCAACCTGTTTCTCCTTTCCTATAGGCAATTACGTGGTGACCTTATTTCGCATCATCAACGGCCTAGACTGTTGTTTAGATCCCACTGATTATTTCACCCAAGCTAACACGCCCACTTTGCGCGGTCAGCCCCTAAAGCTACGCGCAGGGAAATCAAGAATCAATGGACGGAAGTTCTTTTTCAGTAACAGAGTGGTTGCAGCGTGGAATGTCCTGCCTACCGATGTTGTAATCTCCCCCTGTGTGAATTCCTTCAAGTGTAGACTTAACATGCATCAAGCTTCCCAACTACCACCCTCACATCCACTCACATAACCCGGTGCCATATTATAATTGTTTCTACTACTTGTAATTAGTAAGTAACCGTTAATGATTACTCTTTTTCAACTAGCTCTCAGCTGTCCGCGAGTATCTACAAATTTTTTTTTTCACCTTCCCATTTATCAATGTTTTTCTCCGACGACTTGTAACCAAGAGGGAATTCAAAGGCGTTTGCGCGTCCAATGACATCCATGCCATTTGAGCAAATGTCGTCCCACAGCTGATGACACCGTGTCTCCAGGGTGGCGTCGTCGCCTGGAATCTGCACTTATTCCAGAAACTGGGTGAGCCGATTGCTGAAGTCGAAGGGTAAACAAGCAGATCCAACGGAACTGCACTTATCTTAACCGGTGGTCGCTAAAATTGCGATCTGCTATGAGGCTGCAGTCAGTGACTCGTCTTGGATATGACGAGGCGCTGGTGGGTCAAACCGACCAAATCGTATATTAGCCTGGACACCAGCACATACCGTAGATTACGGCTTCAAAACAGGACGTAGTCCATTAGTCGTCAGCGCCACGTTCCCGGGCATATCCGGATTGTCTTTGCCCACCGCTAAATGCGAGAGAATGTTCTAGCGAGAAGAAGGCGGTGTCCTATGCAGGATTGCCCATTTATGCTCATAATGACATTAGGAAGCATTACTGTTCACTTCTGGGAAGAGAAAAATGATCCTCATGGCGACGACGTCTTTTCTATAGTTTCGGCAAATATGAAACGTTAAAATCAAACATTTTTCCAATAAATATTTTTTAAAAATTAATGCCAATTCTCATAACCATATAAAATTTTGGGTTCCTTTGATTAAATCCCCAGTCTTAAAGATTCCTTATTATAAATGAACTTCTCCAGCTATCCCCTGCGGTTGCTATCGCTTTACGTGTATAGTCGATATTTCGTCATCCGTCAAAGCTGTGGTGCAAGTAATCATCGTTCGCTCTAATAATAATCCCATTTAGCTCTCCGCTTTTTGGCTTCTTGCCGAATAACCCAAGGACTAACTGGGACTGACTACCGTATCAGGATGACGAGACACTACGGTACAGTCTGTCTATTGACTGTTTGACCTTGGAACCTCTGTGTGATTCTAAACTCTACACTTTAAACCTTAGTTATTGAGGCGGGTCCCTTGGATTCGCGGGCACCCCATAAGAACCATCGCGAATGTCTGTGATAAGTAAATTAATTTGAATCCACTCAGCAGTTTTGCCTTAAGGTGACAACGATCAAGCGGGTGATAAGATATCCCCCTGTGAATATTCCATTGGTGACCAAGTCTACGTTGGAAAGCATTCAGATCGTATTGGAGTCGTTGCCTTCATAGGGACCACACAATTTGCACCTGGGGAATGGATAGGTAAGAACCAGGGTCGGGTAAATACTTTTACATTTGCATCCTTACATATAAACCTGGCTCAGACACAGGTTAACATGACATCTTGTAGATAGAGACGAGAATACCAGACGACGTTTTCGGCCGTCAAGGGGCCGGTTACAATGGCTCCCAAGCTGCTGCGGTCACGGGCTGGTGCGAATAGCCTCACTTTAGCATACCAGTTTGCGCACAACGTCACACGGGCGGAATCGCGGACATCTTGGGTCGAGTATGCCGCCAAATGTCTGGGGTTACGAACTGTAGAAATGCTCCCGAAGGGAGAGGCCCTGTTTAGTCGCGTAAACTGCGCCTGCACGCATAGGCGCGCCCGCAACGACACAGCTAACTTACTGGGGAGGAACTGCAGGTTGAGCCAGTCAGTCTGCTTACTGCTACTCATCCCTGGATTGTCCCGCATTGACCAAATTGTAACTCCAACTATGCTATTAGGGTGTTTTGACCCATTTTTACCGGCAAATGACCTCGGGGATTTCCCACTCAAATTAAAACTCTGGGAAGACTGTGCGACTGAAACACCGTAATGCAAAAACGTTGACCCGACTCTTCTAGCAAGCACGTTTCCTCATCCATTTATAATCAATCTCCCATCTCTTTTCGACGACCACAACGACCATGTATATGAATAGACTACATTGCGATAATGCTAATTAATCAAACAAGCTACTTTAAGATACGCATTGATTGTCCATAAACCGTTGGCTGCTATTCATCAGCTCACATGCAGTATCACGCTGGTCCCAGCCAAAGTACTCCAGTTGGCGTTTACGACTTCATACATTTGAGGGCGCCCTGATGTGTGCACGTACCGAAATTAATCCCAGTTCGTGTCCTAGACAAGTTCAGGAGTTCTGCGCTAATGACGGGTTTTGTCTATTTACTCTTCTCAGAGCACGTAACTACCTTTGCGACCTTAAACAGAGTATAGGTGCGTGTATTACAAGACTTCAGTTATTTTAAAAACCCCGTAAATACCTCAAGTTACAAGGGCTTGTTAGATGTGACTAGTTCGCGCATATCATTTCTTACGATTTGTTGCCCCACTTGCTGTTTTTACTTCCCGCAGTAAAGCTATTTGACCGAATTATACATCATCCAAAAGCCGACCGTGTTATCGGGGCCTTCTGCCGAATATGTATCCTGTCATGCATTTTTAAAAATTTTGCTCCCTTGTCAGAATGTTGTATCCATCGCTTACATGAAGGTCGTACTGTAATTTATTATGGCTGATGCAGCGGACAGGGTTCAGTCCAACTGCTGTTTACTTCCATCAAAGAGTGCTGTCAAGAAAGAGAGAGAGAGAGAGAGAGAGAGAGTGGGGGTGGAAACACTGGAGTGAAAATTCCAGGTTCATTTTATTGTTTTTTGCGCCCGTATCTCAGCCTTATTTCAAAATAACCTGTTTTTTTAATCTTGGTGTAACAAGTCGGATGCTGCACTGTTAAGCCGCCGGCTCGCGTCCTGTTTATTGTGCACGAGGATGGTAAAAGTCGATTTGAAGTGCCGCTCACTAACACGATTCTGTTTTTCCACGGAACTTTAGCCTAGAGTCCAATTAGGCTTAGCGACGAAAGCGGGTTATTTTAAATGGTATTCTCGATATGAAGTCGAGGCATTGCTTTTTGACTACAATAAATAAACTGTGAATAAAGGTCCTCATAGTGCAATCGTGTTAGACGGTACCACTGCTCGATATAATCACCATAAGAAACCGTAAGCCTCGCTACTTGCGGCGTTAGCGTAGTGATCGGTAAGACTTAACCCAATCGAAAGTTCAATGATGTTAGAACCAGACAAGACACCTGCAAGAATCAACCTAGTACCTTAATTAAATAAATTGGACAGTAATATAACATCCAACCAAGCGCTTGCCATAATGCTCGGCGGCTGTGAGATGTTGCTAAAATTAAAGATCTGAATCTGCTAAACTCTCTTAAACCCTGATCAAGCTAGCAGCTTTGGTCAGTAAATTTCATAATTTCATTATGCATCCGCTATGTGGTGTGGGAAGAGCACACTGTTTTCAAGCTTCATCCCTGACCAGGAGAGCGCACCCCTCTGGATTGATGGCTGTCAACTTAAAGATGTAGGCAGTTTTAAATACCTCGCGGCGAGGCTGCTGTATAATGGACAGAGGAAGGACGACATTGTCTCCCGACTCGATGCTGTCCGCTGGGTTTTCTCAAGCCTTCGAAAAGGCCAATGGATCCGACGTGACCTCCCCATCGCCATTCAGATTCGCATGTACCGTGCATCTGTCCGGTCTGTCCTTCTCTACAGTTGTGAATGCTGGGCACTGCGCGTGGAGGACGTGCGAAAACTGGAAGTATTTGACCACCACTGCTTGGGGACCATCCTTCGAGTGAAGTTAACCGACTTCGTCTCAAATTAGACAGTTCGCGCTCGCTGCGACAACATCGCAAGGATAACTCAGATCATCCAAGAAAGACGACTCAGGTAGTTCGGGTATGTACTTCGTCGTTCACCTCAGGAGCTCAGTGTTACTGCCCTCGATTCGGCACCATTGCCCCATTGGAGGTGACCAAGAGGGGGTCAGTTCAAATCCTGGTTCGACACAGTTCGTCAAGACATGGAGGTGGTTCTTGGACCTTCGGTATTCGGTCCACGTCGTTGGCGAAGGGAATGGGTTGAGCTGTCCAGATTTGCCCACGGATCGTCACGCGTGGAGAGGTACAGTTCGGGACATCATCGAGGCCGGCTAGATCAGGCATGATCGCAGTCGTATCAAGTGCAAGTACAAGCAATGTCTGGGTTCGCCTGGGTCCGTGAAATGATTGGTCATATATTCTGTCAACGTTAGTAGGGTTCAAAAAGCACTTCTGTAATTTCGGTAGTTAACCGTCTTTCCTGAAGTATAACTTCGACAGGGTTTCTAGATATGATTGACTTTTGAGAAACTGTGTTTACTTTGGTCTAGGAGACCTTTTCAAAGGAGACTTATACCGTGATGGGGAGTTCTCCAGCGGTGTATAACTTGTTGGACAAACGGAACCAGGTCCAGGGATTTTTCATCGGAAACTGTGGTGTATTAATAAAAGACACTCCCACGCAGCACGAATTGCTAACTCGCTAGCTTATTACGTTTAGCACTTGAATAATTAACCGTATAGACACTTCATCTTCTCATGATACCACGATCTGGCTTTAAGATTTCAAATTTAGTTTAAATTGTTTTGGTTAAAGCCATTAGTAGTTTAGCAGATTCTAGAGCCTGCAGGATGTTGCCAATGGTTACGAAGATTCCTGGACCACGACACACACGAAGTCAGCTTATGGGTGTGATTTTCACACCTCCTATTCCAACGAATTATTCCTGTCAGTTATAAGACGTCATTCTCCACTAAAATTATATAAGAGAAACATGTGGAGTTTTAAAGACGTACTGAATGACCGAGCAATTTCCGTTGTACCAGACACCAACAACAACTCGGTGGCACCTGTCTCGCTCTTCAGCTAATACTTGGAAAATCATCATTTGATGTGATAACTGTTTTCTGGACGGAGTCAGACTACAATGGCTCCATCTTTGTGAGACCTTTATGGCGCTCCCACTTACGTCGGATCCAGGACCCCTCTCTTAGCATATTGACATGCGTGAAGTTAAGAACTAAGGCCGTGTCAGCCACTGCTCCCACGTCCATCTCCGTTCGTCTTGACTTTGTTATGCCGTCACAAGACGGTAGGCAGTGTGAAAAGGGCGCGCGGGGTAGATGCAGTGTTGGTTGGATTTTAGTGAGGGAGACTTTAGAAACATCGACCTTACTCCTTCTCCATACCCATTCGGTCTTGTTTTGGTGGCGAGGCTATCTCAAGACAACGTGGGGATGCGATGGGGCTCCATAGCTGGCTCAACAAAAGTGTGTCCACTCGGACCAGAACGGCACTGTCCTGACTACATTGCGGACATGGCTTCTGGTTGAGAGGCACTCCGGCAAACTACTGCGTATTCGATAAATGCGTGCTTTAGGGAAACACCTTATACTTGTTGATTCAGCCTGTTTCGTCCATTCCCTCAATTTGTCTTTTTTTCCTCGCAGGCGTTCGTCTAAATGCCCCTAATGGTAAAAACGATGGGACGGTAGATGGGATCAGGTATTTTGACTGCGAACCTCAATGCGGTCTGTTTACGCGTCGTAATCTTTTACGACCGATAGCAGAGTTGGTCATGCAACAATCTGTCACAAGTCCAGTAAGTCATCTTGCATTGCGTGACTACTTGTGTCCTTGAATCTTCTTCCTATGCCTTGTAAACACCTGTCTTATGCGTCCAACGTTTGCTTCTCATGATGCATTTCTAGTAAACTATTTGCCTTCGTAATGTCTCCAGGGGTTCTCTCCCACTACTCCGGGCGCAGTAAGTGGTTCCGGTCAGCGGCGGCCGAGTGAGAACGTGGAGCTGCCAAACATTCCACAAGGTCTGCGTTTGGGAGATCGTGTGCAGGTATCAGGAGGGCGCTTGGGTGTCATCCGTTATATTGGACCTACTGACTTTGCCAGTGGCGAATGGGTGGGCGTTGAACTGGATGAAGCCTCAGGCAAAAATGATGGCTCTGTTTCCGGCAGAAGGTAACATTGTCTGTAGAATTGACTAGAACGTTTATGGTGTCAGCTCTTGAGGGTTGCCACATGTCCCTACTTAAATTTTTTCGATAGGTACTTCTCCTGTAAACCCAATCATGGTCTCTTTTCCGCGCCCACGAAAATAACTCCACTTAATGGAAAGCCATCGGGTCGGCTTCTCCGATCGTCCGCAGGCCGCATGTAAGTAAACATATTTCCCAATTTTGTGCCTTAAAACGCCACTCAGTACATTCACACACTTCCGTCGCTAATCACAAGCACTAGTCATTATATCCGTCTTTGCGCGCTCTTTTTTTAGGGGAAGCCGTGAGTCCTTACTGTCTGCCAGTTCCAACTTCAGTTCTGTTTCTCGACCACACTTGCGTCCAGCAGCCGCGGTGAGTTTTCAGACTAAATTCTTTACTTCTGGTGGCGAACTTTCCCTCATGGTGTTTTGCCCATTTTATGCTTTTCTGCCTCTGAGCATAGGACATCATGATGGAAAGTGGCGATAAAGTTCCTCATTTCCGCATTTCCCGCCACCATTCTCCAACCTCTGGGCTTATCATTTTCGTCTAATCTTGATGGCTATTTCTTTTTGTTTCTCCTTGCACTTATCCTCCGCCGTCTTCTAATTGTTTGTTGTCTAGCAACAGAGGAAACTCAACGCCACCCCAGGTACTCGTTCCTATGGAGGAGCTAGTGTTCAAGCTTTGGAGGTAGGTTTTGCAGATACTAGTATCCGTTCGTTAGCATTTTATGTCCCGCAAAGTGGCGATAGTTTGCATGCATTTTATTTATTCTCGTTATGCTTTGTCTGGGGCTCATTTGAAATCCGACCAAGAAGTTTATAACAAGCACTCGCTGGTTTCTTATTTGACGTTTGTTCGACGAATACACCCAGCTATGTTACGACTTATTATTAAGCACTGAGAGCGCGAGCATAAGGTCTGCATTTATCTGTCTGTCCAGTTATTGCCTCATGGTATAAAACCTTTTTGCTGAGATCCAACCCCGCAACCAGTTGAGATAGCATGGTGGTAATGTCTTTTGTCTACTGAGGAGGCGACAGTTACATATTACATCAGTGGTTTCATGGGCATTACCGCACAGGTTTCTGCAGTCGTTCTCTTGAGGACCTTTTTAATTCTCACATATACTCATCCGAACGGGCACGTTGGTAGGTGGCGGATGGTAACCATTTCTATCATACTGAGTTATCGTCCCTTCTATCAGCAAGTAGTGGTTACCTGCCTTTTTGTCTGTTATTGCCACGGACGCCCTCTTCTCCGGGCACGTAAGGGTTCAGAAGGAGGAGGAACACCTCCCGCGTCACTTTTCTAATCTGAAGCAATTGCGTGTTGCCACTGATCATTTTATTCCTGCACGCGACTGTGTTGAAGTGTTTTTCGGTATCGCTGATGACATTGACGCTTTTGTTCTTACGTGTTTACTTGGGCCTTTATTTTGAGTCCGTCAGAATGAATCTTGCTGCGGCATCTGACAAAATATTGGCCAATTTTGGAAAGACAACGATTACCGTATCACATTCAATCATTCTCAAATACGTCCGGTATTTTGACGGCCTTTCGAGACTTCCAGGCCAGCGAGGGATTGTACTGGGTGTCATTTGACTCCGAAAATCCGTGAAGACGGGAGTAGTGTCAACTGCCACACATTTTGTTTTTAAAGTCTATCGTCCTGTCGGTTTTGTGCATCTTGGTCCTTCAGGCAGAACATTCGCACCTCATTTTGGTAGTTCTGTTCACCGGCGTATGCAGTACATCCATTTTATCAGTCTCTTCAGTGATATTTTTAAATCTCTATTCGTGTTAATCATCCTGCCTCTCCCCTCCTTCGATATGCCCTCTCACTAAGCCATAAATGTTAGTTTGCACTTACTCTCGACCATCTATCGCGCCACAGCTCCTACTGCAGACCTAAAAGGGATGGAATGTCTGGGCCAGTTAAAAATAAACAGATCTCGTGATGTGTACACATGAAAAATGAAAAAAAGAGCTGCTTCGACGACACTAAACTATGCAGAGAGCTGCAAATAACATGCATTTATTCCTTCAGACTGTTGGTCGAATTTAAAGCACCTGTGCAAAACAAGCGGTTTTTCGTCAACCACATAGGTATTCTTTTTTGCGAAAGAACGTCCACAACACAATTAACTGACTTTGCTTTTTCTGGAGACCTACCTCCTCATGCCATTCTTAGATGCTGCATTATTTTTAACAAGAACCTAGTGCGGGAGAAGGAGGCTCACATCGAACAGCTGCTGCAGGAGTTTGAAATGGAACGGGCAGAAATGGCAAAGATTACCGTCGAGCGCGAGCAGGTAAGTATCAGAGCATGCAGTTTTGATGACAGCGCAACTGTCTGCATGTAAATAGGCAGTAATCCACCACAGAACAAACTCCATCAGCACTTTATTCCCTACGGGTTCATGCATCATACGCAAACCCGTCACACCTTACCCACAGCGAGCACGGAACATGCACTTCTCACGCAAATAGGACCCGTGTCCTTCGGCTCCTTCTCCATGTGACCTCTATGCTACGCTAGCGCGTGCGAGATCTAAGCAGCCCACCCCTCGCTGTGCGAAAACCTGGTTTGTTGTGTTCCTGTGTGTGGCATGCGCAGACGGGCTGTTTTAACTCTGTCAGTCGCTGACCAATATCAGCATCAGTTGATAGAGCGTCTTGGACAGGCGGCCGGTGCACGGGGTGGGGAAGAGAGAGAATAAGACTGACTCAGAGGACTCGGTACCCACGACATTCAGCGCATTTTCTTCGCCATAAAAAATTGGCGTTCTTTCTAACCATCACTATACGCTAAAAGGTGTGACTTGGAAGACTGCCAATTGGCGAGATAAGTTGGCCCTCGTTTTAGGATGGGGGACCAAGGTGCAATGTCCCCTTTCTTTGAAGTCGCGATCCTAACCGCCTACCCCTCTGCTGTTGTGATGAAAACCGGGTCTATCGCGCGCAGACCAGGCGTGTGTGTGGCACGCGTAGAAGGACTGTTTGACTCCGCCAGCTGCTGCTCCCCATCCCGCTTCCAGCCTTCCTGACTGTCATGTCACCGGACTCGGGTGGGTATGGAAGCAGAAAGTGCGATAGATCCAGCGCAAATCAACTAGCACTATAAATCAAATTAGTCGCAAGTCACCGTCCCTGCGCCGTCATGCTGTGGGGCAGACGTGGACGCCGTCCGTACTGACGGTCGAATTGTTATGTCTCTTGGTAGCAAAAGTTGCGGGTGCTGTATTTTCTGCTGTAGTCGTAGTGGGGCTTGCTATACATGCCCAACGAAATGCATTTGCGCTGGCAGTAGCACTAGTAGTCGTGATGTCAGTATTAGCACTGGTAGATATGCTGACGTTTACCGCAGCGGCAGTATTTGTGTCTCTTCCCTTAGTGATCATAGTAGGTGCACCTTCGACTGTCGAAAGCGAGAAGACCAACTATCTCCCCGCACGAGTTACGCGCGGTGGTCGCTTGCTCGGAAATTCGTTTATAGTGAGGGCGACTTTCGATGCGTCTACCTCACACACTATTTTCACAACCACCGCTTTTTGATTACAGGGCATAGTCCTGACGACCGGATGTAGGCGTAGATATAATGGCCGACAAATCTAAAGGGCCGATCTAAACGCCTAGCACACCACACGGCCCCTAGGACGACAACCACCCTGAGTCATTAGGGGTATCTGAGATTGCATGTGGGCGAGAGTGACAAAAGACCACACTGAGAAGGAGCCACTGCAATCTTATCCACAGACCTGAGTATGACCGAGTTATCATTTCAGCTAGCGGTCTTATAAACCACGGCTGTTGATGCCTTTTGATTGTTTCGGGCGTGCCTAGTTTCTTTTTACTGGGAGAACACTGGACGCTGGATCGTTTTCACTCGCTCTTCTTTTTTAAACTCACCAGTGGTTCGTTCATGTCAAGCTGAGTGAAAATGAGATTGAGCGCAGTGGCTGGCATGACGTGGTGTCTCCTTACAACGCGTGACAGACAGGCATTCCGATCCTGCATGTGTTAAAGGGTACCATAAAGGTCACCTAAGGAAGTTGCCATTGCGGCATGACCACCTTGCCTCATCATCCCCCAACCCACAAATCGCGGCCTATAACGCGTCGTAATTGTTTCAAGTGCGTAAGATTCATAATCGTCGGGGAATGTGCTAGATTTCCAGTATTGATTTCACTCCCTATTCGATGTCTCGTGCGCCCCGTGTCCCGTCCGAACATTTCGGCCGATCGGTAAGGACCGCAGACGGAGTGACGGACTTGGCTGAGCGTCTCCGCGTCTAACTTTCCGCGCGCGTGCGCAGTCATGCCTAACGTTTCATGGGGCACTACGTACATTGGGAAGCATCACTGGTGTGTGAAGAATGGATGGTGGTGATGTGAGCGGAAAGGTTCATGCAGTGATTGTGTGTGAAAAGTATGAGCAAGGGGGATGCGTGATGTTTCAGTGATCTTTGTTGTGCGCTTGTGCATATGACTGAGTAGGTCAGTGTGGTGATTAGAAGTGTCGACACACATGCTTGTGTCCTTTGGGCGTTGGCTGGCGCACCTGACACTGGTTTAGTAATCGTGCTGAGGTGGCTCGGCAAGTGTCCACCCAGGCCGATGAGTGAGTGGGATGTGCGAGCACCGTGGAAAGAAGTTAGCACTGTGTCTACACTTTTGGCGATTGCCATCCGTGTCTTGTGATGTTCCCACTTTGCTGACTACGCAGGTGTTCGACAAGAGCGGACGGAGACGGGGAAGCCGTGTGAGAGTGTTTTCTTCGGTAATGGTGTTTGTTGTGCAGGGGAGGGGTGCGTTGGCCGTGTTGACATCGTGCCGAATCTGGAGGTGTCCATAGAGACCAAATTGGATTTAGAGCAGCCATTGACGCTGTCGTTTTGGCCTCCTCTGCTTGGTTCTCCAGTTTCTCTATTAGACATGCCTGTCAGTCCTCTAGAGTTGTTTCGCATGTCTTCTGGTTAATTTGGAGGAAGTTGGGGAGAGATATCCTTGTGTTGCTGATGCGTCGTGCTCGTCCACTTTGCCCTGTCCATAACGGGATGGGCGGCCTTTGTGACATAAACGACGGTGGTGTTGATTTTAACTTCTTAGCATACTTCCAGCATTTGCCTGGTTGCGAAGATCATGTAGGTGGTTCCGTTTTTTGTAATGCATATCGACTCTGGGAAGAAGTCATTGCTGCAGGCAATGGAGCAGTACTCGGGCGAGGGTCTTCTCCGTGGCGGTGGAAGGTCGACGGAAAATTGTCGCAGGTCTGCTGGCTTACTTTACAGTTATGTAAAAAAATAATGCTTATCATAATGACATCTTGTATGATGTCTACTTGTTGTTCTGTCTGGGACGATTTGGTAAACTTGTTCGCGTCTTAGTGGCATTAGTGGTACGAGTAGCGTCAGTATAATAATTATTACTATTATTGCTATTACTAGTAGTTCAAGTCTTGGTGTAATTTATAAGTCTGGCAATAGTGCGCTTGGATGTACTAGTCATCAGGCAATGTAGGAAATGGCTTTATGTTTTCCTCGGAAGTATAATGCTTGCTTTTTCTCTTTTTTAATGTCATCAGGTTGAAACCGAAGTTGTTAATCAGCGTTCGCTGATTAGTCAGCTAACAGCACAAATCGAACAACTCCAGATGACTGTGAATCAAATGTCCGAGGAGAACAACAAACTGAAGCTGCGCGTTCACGAAGAAGTCAAGTAATCACTTTCTCCTACTTAATTCCTCTTTCCACGACATCCTCTCTCACAAAGCAGAAGACCCATAAATCAACAAGTCACCGCTTGCAAGTTTTTTATGGGCATTTTGTAACTCGATTTTTTGCGAACGAAAAGTCACTGTCGGATCGGAACAGTGAGTGGTTACGTATAATGCAATCGTGAAACATCCAGACGCGGCTGGGTGCCCATCTGGCAAATCAGCTACATAGAAAGGGATCATAAATTAAGGCGTGGCACATGACTTGTACTTGGTACGGCTGCGATCATGTCTGATCTAGCCGGCCTCGATGACGTCACGAACTGTACTTCTTCACGCGTGATAGTCCGCAGCAGCAGATCTGGACAGTTCAACCCGTCTCTTCGCCAACGACGGAGACCAAATACCGAGGGCTCGAGAACCACTTCCAAGTCATGATGGACTGTGTCGAGCTAGGTTTTGAGCTGATCCCCTCTTCGACGCCTCCAAGCTGGTAACGGTGCCGGGTCGAGGGTAGCAACACTGAGCCTGTGAGGTGGACGACGAAGAGCGCGTCCAAACCACCTCAGTCATCTTTTTGTAGGGCCTGAGATACCTTCGTGATGTCGCGGCGATTGCGCACCGTTTCATTCAAAACGAAGTCGGTGTACTTAACTTGGAGGATGTTTCTCAAGCAATGCTGGTCAAATACCTCCAGTTTTACCTCATTTTCCACGTACACAACCCAGTATTCACAACCGCAAAGAAGTACCGACCGGGCGGATGTGCGGTATACGCGAATCTTCGTGGCGATGGAGATGTCGCGTCGGGTTCATAAACACTTTCAGGGGCTTGAGAAAACCCGCTGGACAACACCGATTGTAGAGTCTACGTCGTCCTTATTCTGCCCATTCGACAACAGCCTCGCCCGAGGTATTTAAAACTGCCTACTTCATGTTGACAACCATCAATCCCGAGAGGGGCCTTCTCCTGGCCAAGGATGCAGCTTCGAACCACTGGTCTTCCCAGCGTCTATTTGGATAAAACGACGGAGTTAGGGACATCATCCCTTACGCCATAGACTGTAGATCGCCAAAACTTGAAGCTAGTAAAGCGATACAATCAGTATACTCGAGGTCTGTCAGCTGGCAGCTGAGTATAAATTCAACACCGTCAACTTAGTGTAGGTCGTTCCCGAGAATTCAATCAATGGCTCAGTTGAAGAGATTGGGCAACAGGATAGAACCTTGCCGAACGCAAGATCAAATGTCGAATGGCTGGGAGAGATTGCTATGGACTAGAACTCGCGCAGTGGTTGTGCGATTTTAGGCCTTGATCATTACGATTTAGTTTTAGTCTTAGTACCGCCCCACCATTGTTTGAGTTCTAGCCCTTAACAACTTTGCCAAACTTTGCCACATTAGGCTGAAAGTTCGACGGGAATGTATATTGTCTTGCTCCTGTTTAAATGCACTATTGGCTCCATTGTCACATTGCTATACATGGCCTTGTAGAATGCCGGGCTGCTAAACTTTATTACATTGATGCTAAAAATGAAAACCTACAGAAGGTAGTGCTGCAGGTGATTGACCTACCCAGCTCGGTTGGTTTTTCCAATGACCCAGCAAAGAGAAACGTTTTTGTCGGACTATATACGGTAGGGGGCACTCCCTGCCATCTATGACTGTCAGCCTAAAAAGATTGACAGTCAAGGTTGTTAACTGAGCTGTGACCATTTCTATCAGATGGATGACCTCTAACTCATCTTCACTCTAATTTATGTTACTCCAAGGGTTCCTCCAAGCCCTCAACTGCGTTTTTATATCCATCGCAATATCAATCTCTCAAGGATTCGCATGTATCGAACGTCTGTTCTGTCAGCCCGCTGCGGTTGTATGTGCTAGGATGTTCCTTTTCAATAAAAACGGAATGGCTGGTTTGAAATCGACCGTTGCCCGCAAACTATC